CTAACCGCTCACCTGCCTGCCTGCCTAATTGCCCCTAACCACTCTACCTGCCTGCCTGATGCCCCTAACTGCTCCCCTGCCTGCCTGATCGCCTTTAACCGCCTCTGCCTGCCTGATTGCCCCTAACTGCCCTCCCCTGCCGGCCTCATCGCCACCAACTACCCTCCCCTGCCAGCCTGGTTGCCTCCAGCTGCCCTCCCCTGGCAGCCTGGTTGCCCCCAACTGCCCTCCCCTGCTGGTCTGGTTGCCCCTAACTTCTCTCCCCTGCTGGCATGATTGCCCCTAACAGCCTCTGCCTTGGCTCCCGCCACCATGGCTTTGTCCAGAAGGACATCCGGATGGATGTCAGTCTAATTAGCATATTACCCTTTTATTAGTATAGATATGATTACCACAGTGGTGTTATTTAATGCCTCCATCATGTCACATCATTATCATTGTGTTTTGTGGTGAGAGCATTTAAGAGTTAGCCTCTTAGCAGCTTTCAAGTACATAATGCAGTACTGTTAACTGTAATCACAGTGTTGTGCATTAGACCCCTAGAACTTACTCATCTCTAACTGCAAGTTTGTACCCTTTGACCAACATCTCCTTGGTCCCCCTAACCCCCAGCCTCTAGGAATCACCATTCTTCTCTGTTTCTATGAGTTTAGGATGTTTTAGATTCCACATATAAGTGATATACAATATTTGTCTTTTTCTTTCTTCCTCATCTTAGTATAATGCCTCTAAGGTCCATCCATGTTGTCACAAATAATAGGTTTCCTTCTTTCTCCTGGCTCAATAATATTTCATTATATATATCACATCTTCTTTATCCATCATCCATTGACAGACACTTAGGCTGTTTCCATATCTTGGCTATTGTGAATAATGCTGCAATAAACATGGGAGTGCAGATATCTTTTCATTTCCTTTGGATATATGCCCAGAAGTGTGATTGCGGGATCATACGGTAGTTCAATTTTTAGTTTTTTGAGGAGCTTCCATATTATTTTCCATAGTGGCTGAACCAATTTACAATCCCACCAGCAGTACACAAGGGTCCCTTTTCTCCACATCCTGGCCAACACTTATCTCTTGTTTTTTTTTTATGATTCCTATTCTAACAGGTGTGAAGTGTTGTCTTATTGTGTTTTGATTCTTATTTCCCTGGTGATTAGTGATGTTGAACACCTTTTCATGTACCCATTGGCTATTGGTATGTCTTCTTTGGAAAAATGTTCATTTTTTTCTGCCCATTTTTAAATCAGATTGTTTTTATTTTTATTTTTGTATATGAATTGTATGAGTTCTTTATATATTTTGGATATTAATTCCTTGTCAGATATATGGTTTGCAAATATTTTCTCCCATTCTGTAGATTGCTCTTCATTTTGTTGTTTCTTTTGCTATATAGGTTTTTAGTTCGATGTATTCCCACTTAATTTTGCTTTTGTTGCTTGTGCTTCTGGTGTCATATCCAAAAAATTGTTGCTAAGACATCAAGGAGCTTTCCCTCTATGTTTTCTTCTAGAAGTTTTATGGTTTCAGATCTTACACTTAAGTCATTAATCTATTTTGAGTTAATTTTTGTGAGTGGGAATTGAACTGTAACCTCCTGATTCATAGGTCGATGTTCAACCATTGAGCAGCCACATCGGCCGGGCTACTAAATTGTCTTTTTAAAAAAGCTGCTTAATATCCCATTGAGTATGCTGTTATCGATATTTTTCTATTGTTGGATATATAGGATTTCCCCCAGCTATTTAATACTATAATGATGTATTCATAGCTTCATGCACATAGAATTCTATATATTTAAGATTATTTTTGAGAATAAATTACCACATTTGCTTTGTTCTTGCTACATATTATCAATGTTTTTCCAGGAGATAGTACTACATTGACAAAGTCACTGGCAACATATGAAGGACCAATTATGCTACATCTTCAAATTTTATGTCTAAAATAATTTTAGTGCCCAGCCAGTGTGGCTCAGTGGTAGAGCATTCATCTATGAACCCAGAGGTCACAGTTCGATTCCTGGCCAGACCACATGCCTGGGTTGTGGTTTTAATCCCAGTGTGGGGTGTGCAGGAGACAGCCAATTTTCTCTCATTGTTGTTTCTATCTCTCTCTCTCTCTTCCTCCCTGAAATCAATAAAAATACATTTAAAAAATAAATAAAAAATAAATTTACTAGTTTAATTTCAACAGCCTCATTATTTCTTTCATTGCATTGGATTTTTCTTCATGTGTATTTACTAGGTGTACTTCTTTCATGAGTTGTTTGTCCTTTACATACTAAAGTCTCTAGTATTAAAGTCTTGGGAAATTCGTTCTAACTCTTTAAAACTTCTATAAGATATTTTATATTGAAAAATTAAAAGAACATATATGCAAACAAGGAGAAAATAAAATTGCTCATATTGTTACCACACAGAAATATCTACTTTTTGTATTTTGAGTATATCCTTCTGATTTTTAAAAAATGTGCATCCACTTTTTTTAAATAACTAAATATACCATCCCACTTTTTAACCTACCTTTTCTAATTCAACATTCTAATGACTTATGAAAATTTTAATACTTTTTTTCTGGTAATCCATGTACTTTCCTGAAAGTTTGAAAAATATAAACTATAAAGAAGAAAAATTACCCATTATTCTACCGCCTAAAGATAATGTCTACTGATTTATTGCAATTCCTTTCCATTTTTAATCTGTATTCTTCCTCAAAATTATAATCATGCTGTAAATATTTATTATGTTTACTGAATATTCATTATATTATTATATCTATGAAGTGATCTTTTATGAGTATCCCATAGTTCCATAATTTATTTTTAAATTGTCATGGTATTAGGTGTTTGTTTCCAATATTTATTATTATTTTCACCAGTTTTGTACACTTGTTACTCCTCACCAACATTGCCTATCTTATTTTTTAAAATTATTTGCTAATTTGGTACTTGAAATGGCATCTCATTATTTTGATACATTTCTTAAATGTAAATTCATTAATAATAATATTAGGATCCCACAAGAACATATCTTAACAAAAGGA